CCATGGCATCTCATCTCCCAGGTGCCTGTTGGAAATGCAGAGTTTCAGGCTCTTCCACAGATCTACTAAAGCTGACTCAGCATTTTAACATGAAAATTTGAGAAGCTCTGTTCTAAAGGATGTGATTGATTTTGTTTCATTTTGTTTTAACACAGTGGAAATTTTGCAGTAATCAAAAATATCAAGTTTTTATAGTATGGTCATTCATTCAATTATGATCATTTTAAGGGCTTACCCTGTGTTGTGACATGCTGGTCATGTCATTACTATGTGACATGCTGGCAGTAAGTACTGAAAGATAGGTAAGATTTTTGTTCTTTTTTTTTTAAATCCTCACCCAAGAATATTTTTTCATTGTGTTTCAGAGAGAGTGGAAGGGAGAAAGAGAGGAGAGAGAGAGAGAGAGAGAGAGAGAGATGTGAGAGAGACACATCAATTGGTTGCCTCCTGCATGCGCTCGGACCAGGGCCAGGGATCGATCAAACCCAGGACCCTCCAGTCCCCCAGCCAACACTCTAACCACTGAGCCAAACCAGCTAGGGCAAGATTTTTGTTCTTATAGAGTTGATAATCTAGGAGGAAATAACGAGATTAATTAAAAAATTAGAAGGGTAATAAATGGTATGAAAGGAAAAATACAAGAATACATAAAAGGCCTTTAACTCAGTTTTGCTCACCCAAATTTGAGAAATTAATTGTAGCTCATAGAATGTTTTTTACAAGTTGGGGGGTACTCTGTTTGAAACAAACCCTGCTTGACTTAGCTCATTTGCCAGGAGGTCAGTTTTATATGTTTCCCCCTCACCCCAAGCCTCTATCTCTTGATATCACCAAGACACAATCAGAGCCGAGCAGCAGAGGTGGGGGCTAAGAACATTCCAGGCAACCATTGTGTAAGCTTACCATTCTAGGAAGAATGACTAGAAAAACAATAAGGAACTAAAGGATTAGCCACCTCTGATGATACAGAATGAAAAGAAAAATGACTTTGGATAGCTCTTACAAATAGGTAGCTCGATAGCCTTCAGCAGCACTTTTATACTGAAATTTCCTTTGGCAGAAGTATTTGCTGGCTGCGCTTTGAATGGCATCCCACCTAATGGAGTAGGCTGTGTGCTATAGGCACTCTTTATAGATGCGTGATTCTAGTAACCAAAGAAGTGGCATGGAATTGCAATAATCTCAGCTCACTCGTATTGTGTTCTAATGAGGAATCAGTGAGTGAGTGATTACATCAAATAACCATTTACATCAACTGCTTCCTTTATATTGTTCAGCATGATACAGAAGGACTTGAAAGACAGACAGATTTTAGTTCTAAACCCCACTCCATTTTTGCCAGCTTTATGATACTGAGAAAGCTACTTATCAGCTCTGAGCATCAGTTATTTATTATATCTATAAAATGTCAATAATTGCTGCCTCCCAAGATAGTTGAAGAAATTAAGTATGGATAGAGCACTTTTTAAGTGCCTAGTACAAAGCCACAAAATGAAAGTGCTTTCCATCACATGTAGCTCAAATTTCCGAGTTTAGTATTCCCAATCTCCCTAATTTAGTTATCTGGCCTTTCGAATAATTTTTTTCAACTTTGCAACAGTTCAGTTCAATTTAAGCTTCTATTATATGTCAGGCATTTTACTAAGTACAAGGAATACAGTGATGAATATTTAATATGACACGGCTCCTATTCTTGGGCAGTTTCTATTTACTGATGAAAACAGAAATGTCAATACACCATGAACAGTACAATGATAAAAATATAATCAAGTTCAACGAAAGCACAGGGATATTAAACCTCACTGCGAAGGTTAAGGAAGCAGCAGGTGATACCCAAGCCAAATTTCTCAAATGAGGAAAATTTAACCAAGTTAAATCAGGTTTGGGGAGGACTTTTTTAGGTAGAGGAAGAACATTAGCAAAGACTGTGAAATGCAAAACAGCATAATGCACGCAGCCAACTACTACAGTATTACAGGAGCACAGAGTGTACCTCCTAAGAGAGGTGAAAGATGAAGGCAAAGAGCCGGACAGACCACAAGACTCTAATGACATGCTAACAGTCATAGATATGATTTTAAAAAATTTGAATGATTTTTTTTAAATGGTAACAAAGCCAAATTTGCATTTTGTATCTCCCTAGTGTCTGAGTAGAACAGCCATCCTTAATTCTAGTATCAAAACTCACAGATGTTTCTCCAAAAGCTGAAGGCATGTTGAAAGTTATTCATTTTTAATAAAGTAACAAAGTTTATGAAACTTGTTCTTTAAAAATTATATTAGAGCAAATTAATAGTCATCTCAATTACTTATTAGTAATTCATATGCTTTTCCATTTTCAAAGTCGTCACTATTATTTGTCACTTACTTTTTTATATGCTTTTCCAATAGGGAAAGAAAAGGGCAGACTCATAGCTAAAATAAAATTTGCGTAACTCTGGGTAAGTCCCTTAAAGTATGTGATAAAAATGATGGTCTCCAGTTGTTATGGAGAATTAATTGGCAACCTAGAATTCAGCACTATGTATATAACCCCCTCTAGAAGAAGACGTACCATCGGTTTTGCTTACCTCCTCCCACATCACCCCTCCGTGTTGTAGTTAGTTATCTAAATTCTTTCACGTTAGATGAATGTCACAGATTCATAGACAGGAGGTCACATTTGGAAAAAATGCAAAAGATAAACGTGTTAATATTTTAAAAACCATGATCCCAATTGATGGTATGCCTTCTTCTAGAGGAATTATAGATACTTTGATATTTTTCACCTGGCTGTAGTTCATATAGCAGAAAGGTATAGATTTCCTTTGTATTACTATCTTACCTGGTTATTTTACTGAATTTTCTAAATTCTAATTAGTCATTAATTGTTGAATTTTTTAGGTAGATAACATATCATATAGAGATAATGACAGTGTTCCAGTTTCCTTTCAAAGCTCTTCTTCTATTTCATTGTACTGAGCATTCATTTCAGTGGGTGAATGGAAATGGTGACAATGGG